AAAAAACCAACCCATTAAAACTTGATTCAGTGATCCCAATTAGTCCAAGAAAGTTTCATATCCGTATCAATGGAGGGTTGCTCTTATTACTTGGCAATGGTACTGGTTCAGCTCATATATGGTGGATCAAACATCCTCATAAAATTCTCCCTTGCAGAAGGACTCAATCCAATTGTCTTCGTCGTTTACCACGGCATGTTATGGCCATGGTTTTGGTAGGACCATTTGCTTATGTACTTGAAAGGTAAGCTATCGATTCTTGCATCTCTTCATATTTCCAGGCAGTAAAAACAGAGAAAACTAATTCTTGAATGGATTTGTAAAGCAGGAAACAAAGGCCTTCACTCTCATTTTCTGTAGCTGCCAAAATTTTTGTGCTTGCCTTGTTTGGAACCACCATCCATCTGAATGTGTACTATGCTGGTTTAGCATACACTTCTCCAACAGTTGCATGTGCCTTGAGTAATGTTATTCCCAGCTTGACATTTCTAATGGCAGTTCTACTTGGGTATATTCTCTGTCCTTTCCTTTCCCTTGCTTAATTAGAAAGGGGAATATAAATGTTCTTTTTTCCTGTTCTGCAATTTGCTTGTTCTTACACAGGTTGGAGAAGTTGAAGATTAGAACTGCTAGAGGTCAAGCTAAGGTGGCTGGCACACTTTTCGGCATTGGTGGTTCTCTTGTTTTCACTTTCTGGAAAGGAGGATACCTATTTAAAGGTTTTGTAAAGAGGCCACTGATAAATATATCTGTTGGTTAAGGAAAACTGGATCAAGGGGGCCCGCGCCTAAAGATCAACAAAAAAGGGAAAGAAATAAATATGTGAATCAGGTTACATGTTTTTCTCCCTTTATAATCAACAGTTGCTCAGATTCTACAAGAAAGATGGGAGTATATGTCCATCACAATCCGCCTGCGCCTAAAGATCAACAAAAACACGAATCATATTACTCTCTGAATCTGAATATTTGCCTCAAATACTAGGAATCAGGTTGTTTGGGGTTTTGAATATCAGAAAATCAAATAAAGTCAATGGATGAAGTCTTGCAGTCCTAAATCTAATCAATAAACCATTTTCCTTTTTATTTTTTCAATACTCTACACCTATCTTTTTTTGCTGTTAAAGTTCAGAACGCCCATCATTTGCATCGCTGCTGTGACAATGATCCTCTTGTACTTAAATGTGGTGAAGACACAAGTTAAAAGCCTTTAAATGTGCCCTTAGTGTGCAGGTATTCTTCTTAGTAGTTACAATTCTGACTTCTTAGTAGTAGTACTTGCCTAGAATAAAAGACGAGTGCTAGTGTGAATTGGGCATTCTGCCTTGTTTATATTATTACATTTGACAGCTAGCATATCAGTTGATTAGTTAGAGATGTTTGTTAATGGGGGATGCTGAGCACCCTTGAATGTTGTTAGTCCATGCCTCTTTCCTGTATTGTTTACCTTGTTTTGTTTTGTTTTTTCCTTTGTCCTCCAAGAGAAGCTAGCTCTTCTTTTGTGTTTTTCCTTTCCACAGTACATTACCCTAAAAAAATATAGGGCCATTTCAGCAGGACTCAAACCTTCAGCTTCTGGGTATGGTATATTTAATGAGATGCTTCTTCTCATCTAACACGTTGTTTGAAATCTCATTTAGAATAGTTCGTATATATATATATATATATATATCAATGCCATATGACCTTTGATAACTTCAATTTATTTCAAAACTCCTCTTCGTTGTCTCATTAGAGTGTTTTGTATCCAATTTTTCATATGCAGAGAATATACTGATGTATCTCAAAGCAGGAGCAGGGTTGTCAAGTGCAATGAGAAAAAGTTGTAATTGGGTTCAGTTCATAATTACGATGGATACATTGTAGAAAGTAAATTCTTATACAAGCAATTTTATACTATGAAATTCAACATTCTTTGATTCACAAGACGTTGGTGGATCCCTATTTTGGTTGTTGTATTTATGGGTTTAACCAGTATTATTTCTCATAAATAAAATCCGTTTTTTATTCTTGCGCAATGGACTAATAGCCGGAAATCATTAGAATGAGAGGTATCGGAAAGAATTTAAATTCTCATTCCCCAAATATCGGTTGTATAAATAAAATAATTGAAGAAATAACTCTAGCCCAATTAGCTGAAGCGGTATTTTAGCCCTCAACCCTAAAATAATATGACAAAATTGTATATTTAAATAGTATAGCCGTTCGGCTATACTATCAAATGTCATTCAACTATCGAAATCTCCACTATGATAACAACTCTGGTGCTATAAAATCTTAAAATCCTTAGAAGAAACTCTGTGATAATCGTTTTTCCATTTAAACAAACAAAAAAAAATTGCAAAATCAGAAACATACGTAAATTGCACGCCATGGCAGCCACGGATAGAGACTCAAACTCGTAGTTAGGCGGTCTGGGCGGATCTGGGCGGCCCCTAGGCGGTCTGGGCGGATCTGGGCGGCCCCTAGGCGGTCTGGGCGGAGCTAGGCGGCCGCTAGGCGGTCTGGGCGGAGCTAGGCGGCCGCTAGGCGGTCTGGGCTGATCTAGGCGGCCGCTAGGCGGTCTGGGCTGATCTAGGCGGCCGCTAGGCGGTCTGGGCGGATCTGGGCGGCCCCTAGGCGGTCTGGGCGGATCTAGGCGGCCGCTAGGCGGTCTGGGCGGATCTAGGCGGCCTGCACAGGTCTAGGCGGGTCTGCGTTGGTGTTGAGGTATGCTGCTCTCATAAACCAGAAGTGCCATGTGAAGAACAAGGATATTAGGAAGTTTCTTGATGGGATTTTTGTGAGTGAGAAGAGGACGATAGCTGAAGAGGAGTGTGTAGAAATTTAGGAAGGAATAGAAAATTAGGGAATGGCTCACTAATTGTGATGCCTGTATTCATTCATCTTTATATGATATTACAGTTGACGTTGGCCTAAGTATATATGGAAAGCTAAGGTTAATAAGGTAATACAAGATTTACACAATCATAGATTTAAACTAATACATATTGAGGGAGAGATTGTAGCACGACATCATGAATCCTGATTTGCAGAGGATTGAGCAATCATAGTAGCCGGGGGAGAGATGTGAGGTTGTGATTTGGGCTGATTGACTGATTGACTCTCGTCAGAGTGATTAGATTTTTGGATTTGTGCTTGTTAGAGTGTTTTTTCTGATTTTGAGTTTTTCATCTTTACTCTGTTTTTTTAATCTTGGATGGAAATTTTGATGAGCAAGTGTTACTATATTTTGGGTTTCTATTGCCAAACATAAATTGTGGAATTCCGGGATTATTTTATGCAGGTTATTGGTTTTTAAAGTGAGAAATGTGATGGCAAATCTTTCATTTGCACAATCTTCAGTTTTTAAATGTTTGTCTTTGAGCCAAGATCTGGAAGAACACCTCACTTACACTAAAAATAATTTCCACTAATAAAAATGCCCCAAAAATGGTTATTTATAGTTGCACCATCAAGTAAGTTAAACCCTGGAAAAAGTAAGGTGTCATGCCTTTTTAGAATTGGTAAACTGATTGTGAAGTCCACTATAAACCCAACCCATTAAAACTTGAAGCAGTGATCCCGATTTTAAATCAGTCCAAGAGTTTGCTATGCTGATGTAATTTGGACCAGAAAACAACATGGATACTCAAAAGTATCCTGTTGTCCCTGGGTATGTGGACTGATTCTATAACAGATGAATTAAGTAACCCTGAATTTATTCTCGTTCTAATTAAAGTCATCTGTTCTGTTTGTGATTATTTGGAACCAGGCATGAGATTGCAGGCATTGTAAAAGAGGTGGGTTCCAATGTTCAGCGCTTCAAAGTTGGTGACCATATGGGAGTGGGAACTCATGTCAACTCATGCGGAGATTGTGAGTACTGCAACGACAGATTTAATGGTGTTGGTGTTGATGGTACAATCGCAAAAGGAGGATACTCCGGTCATATAGTTGTCCATGAAGGGTATGAATTGAACTACCTTTTTGCCCTCTCCTCAAATTTCACATCTAAATGGCCTGTATTACAGGTACTGCTTCAACATACCAGAAAACTATCCATTGGCTTCGGCAGCTCCTCTACTTTGTGCTGGAATTACTGTTTATGTTTCGATGGTACGCCACAAGATGAACCAACATGGTAAATTCTAGGGTGATTGGCCTTGGTGGCCTAGGTCACATGGCAGTGAAATTTGGCAAAAGGCATTTGGTTTGAATGTAACAATTTTCAGCACTAGCATATCCAAGAAAGAGGAAGCTTTAAGTCAGCTGGGTGCAGATAACTTTGTGGTCTCATCTGACAGAAATCAGATGAAGGTAAAAATACATAAAGTTTCTTACCTCATCACATGAACAATAGAAAAAATAGTGGAAATGATGGCTTATCCTATAGGTTTAGTATTTATCGGTTATTGTTTGCTATGTAGGCCCTGGTGAAGTCAGTAGACTTTATAATTGATATAGCATCTGGTGATCACCCTTTTGATCCATACGTTGAACTATTGAAAACTGGTGGAGTTCTGGTCTTATGGTGGGATTCCCCAGTGCAGTCAAAATCAGTCCTGCCAACCTTAATATCGGTACATTGGCATGTTTCAAATGATTGAAATGACACAGTTTTATGTATCCAACTGTTATTGCAATTGCAAGTATATATAATGAACTCCATGCATTGACCTTTTGGCAGGTATGAAAACCATTTCTGGTAGTGTAACCGGTGGAACAAAGGATATCCAAGAAATGATAGATTTCTGTGCTGCAAATGGAATTCATCCAATGATAGAAATAATTCCAATTCAATCTGCAAATGAAGCTATTGAGAGGCTACTAAAAGTGTTGTGATATACCGGTTTGTGATTGATATTGAAAACTCCCTGAAATGACACCATGAAAGAGAACAAGCAGTGGCGGATTCAAGAATTTGCATTCCGGGGGTCAACGTGTAAGGGGTTAAAAAAAATTTGTACCAAATAGACCCATTGAAATGAAATGATAGTACTCTAATTCATAGTTAATAGATAAAAACCATACAAAATACTCATGTTCATTACTAAAGAGAACTACATCAACTTCAAAAAAATAGACACACATTGCTATACACCAGAAATATATCTAAGAATGTGATAATAAACTAAAAAAATTAGTGCAATCCTCTTCGCCTCCCAAGGCGTCTCGTCCTATTCGACTCCCAAGGCGTCTCATCCTATTTGACATAAAAACTAGCATATATTAGCGCAATCCTGCTCATTTTAAGGTGTTTACTTCATTTTTTTAAGGTCCGTTGTAGTTTTGATTTTGGGCTTTATTTGCATTTTTTTTTTTTTTGGGTTCTAGCTCTCAAACTTTGGACCTTTGTGAGTACTGTCTTAAGGGGAGCTTATTCAAGCAAATATATTTTCAATACGTAAGAGTTAGGTTATTCTTGTAAAACTCTTTGTGGATTGAACATCTAAGATTTTTTACCTAGATTAACCTTAGGTCCCTTCATGCATTCATATCATACATGAAAAATTGTTTTATGTAAAAATATTGGCTAAGTATGAAAAATGGTTTTACATAATAATCATTTTCTCAAGATAATTTTTGACAGCTTTTATTCCTTACACATCAAATAAGAAAACTTGATTTTATGGGATTTTAGTATGAAGTATATATTGACTTAATGAGACATCATTTTTAGCCTAAATCGTATTTTGCACTAATACCAATTTTTCATATTTTGATTTAGTGGGAATTTGATTTTCAAGTATTTTTATTTGTATCCAAATGGGGGGTACTTCCTTATTTACATTGTAAATTTTAGTAAATGGAGTAACATAAAAATAAATAAAAATAGAAGGAGAAAGAGTAATCTGCCTGCTGTGCTAGTGTGTTGCACCCTCTGCTCATCAAGCAGTTTATGGGCAATTTGCAGGCGTCCAATGGTTAATTATGGTTAATTCCGGGGTTGAACCACAGATTCCGATAAGAATTTGCATGATCAATTGCTGAAATTGACGTTGTGAACCTAATAATAAGATATGAGAAAGAGAAAACTCACGCAGTAGACGATAGTTAAAAGTTGCAGGTTCCACTTCAGTCTCCATGAAATTGGATTTCTAGCC